CGGCTCGCTGTGTACCTCTGCCCATAGCTACGTTATGTCTCGTAACTATGGTAACTATGGCTACGAGACACAGCGTAGCTATGGGCGGAGAAACGCAGCGAGCCGCGATTCGCGTGCATCACGGTCGCCGACCAGAGCGTTTATTTACCCAGACAAAATAATAAATTACTCGAGAACTATTGCGAATTTCGCAAAATGGTATTTGATTTTTCTGTTCCGTTTAATCTATTCTATTTTCCTACGAAATTGTGTCAAGAAAGATTTCGGACACCCTATATATACAGGGTATCTCAAAACAATCTACGAAGCTCTAGTGAGAACGTAGAGCGGGTTAAAATAAATATAAAACTAGTATTCCGTTTTACGATATTCGTAATAATAACCGAGAAATTAGTTACGAAAGATTAAGAAAAAGCGTGTGTTGAATGGTAGAGGACGAGCCGCTCGAGTCACAGCGCACACCAGTAATATAATGCGTGGATGTCGCGTGTGGCGATTGGACGACAATGCATCACTGTCTATACCTTGTACCACTGTATTCCTACATTTGCCTCGGCGCGGTGCGGCAAGACGTAGGAGCGCAGCGCTATAAGGCAGTGGTGCGTTGTCTCCCAATCGCCATGCGCGATATCCACGCGCTATATTGGGCTGCGCTGTGACTCAAGCAGTCCGTTATCTACCATTCAGCACGTTTTTTTTTAATCTTTCGTAATTAATTTCTCGGTTATTATTACGAATATTGCAAAACAGTATAGGACTTTTATATTTATTTTAACCTGTTCTACGTTCTCACAAGAGCTTCGTAGATTGTTTTGAGACACGCTGTGTGTATATATATATTTTTTTATGTTTATGTGTAATGTGTTTCTATTACAATAAATATGGATATTTTCACTAAAATAATTATGGTATTTGTTTAAATTTGTAATTATTTTTTTAAAGACACATATCTAATTAAAAAGACTGTCTCTAAATAATATGAAATTTCATATTTCTTTTAATCTGCATGCAAATATTACATATGCTAATTAATGATTGTTGTAGATGCAATATTGTTCTAAATGCAATATTAGATGCAAATTAACAATCGTATGAATTTATGTTGAAACATAGTGAAGAAATCAGATTATATTTTAGTAAAGTTCGATATATTTCAGTAATTTTGATGGATATTTCAATGAAAGAATTTTCATATCTTAATATAAAGAAAAATAAAAAAACTAAATTTTAATTAATATCATCAATTATCAGTAAAATTCAGCACGATTTTGTTATCTATTCAAAACTTTTCCACCAAGTTTTTCATCAATAAAGTACATAAAGTATTTATTTACAATTCATTATATTATTATTATTATTTCATCAAGGGTCAGCGCAATTCAGCAAAATTTTGAAAATTATTGAGAAATGTTTTCACGAATTTTTTTCATCAATTTTTCAGCAAAGTTTCAATACAATTTACTCAGTTTTAAAATTAAGTAGTTATTAAAATTTAGTAGATTTAATAATATTAAATATTTCAAAATGTTTTTATTACTTTTCATCAATATTCGTTTAAAATTTATTATTTTATTACACTTTTCATAATAATTCATAAAAAAAATCATGATTTATCATAAAATATTTTCAGCAACTTTTTAATAATTTTTATTTCTTTTTTTTTTGACGATTTTATTGTATTTTCAGCTAATTTTTTCCATCAGGGTTTCTACAGCATTTTTCTTTGTTGGAATTTGTAAAAAATACAATGTCGCGGATACGCACTTTATCTATTGCTGTTTTTGATGCTGTTTTTGAACTGAATACTTTTTAAGGTTATGTTGAGCCTTTCGTCAAATTACCCAGATAGAAAAATGTGTTTATTCTGAACTCATATTATACTTATATATCTTCAAAATATGAGGACAAGAATACACACCGATGCGGGCTCATATGTGGCTCAGATATAGTTCATGTCATGATGTCACAAAAATATCTCATTTAATAATAATAATCAACATCATGTCAAGAACTTGCAACATAATTTGTACATCATTTGTGTGCATCTCGTACTCATGTCATGAAATCACGTAATGATCTTTAAAAAAGTATCAAATTGAAGTCATAGTATAGCCATATTGTGATAAAGCATGATCATTACACATTTTTATCTGGGTAAATGTCATTTTGAATAGCTATATATCATTATAACATAACCACAAAAGAGTGAGGAAATTAATTGACTTTAAAATGACTTTAATGAAATTTTTTAACTGCTCAAAAATTTTGGGTTATTTATTTGTACACCTAATACAATTATGTTCGATATATTATTCATTATTTTTTGTAAGAGTTTCTGAACGCATCTTGTCTATAGTGAGAGATTTTATCCATTAGAAAACAAATTCTGCCATTGAATAAGACGATCTATTCCAAAACATACAAGAAAGTGGACAATCTATTTGACTACGATTGTGCATGACACTGTATGTACACTTGGTTTCAATACTTAGTTTGGATACTTCTTTTTTTTATGCAGTTTGAAACATAGGTCATATGTAATGGGAAAATTTTTGGTTTTGAATAATTTTCGGAAAATTAGCATTTTTTTTCATTGTGTGCATTGCCTACGTTTTGAATTGCATAAAAAAAAGTATTCAAACTGTATTGAAACTAGGTATATTTTAATTACTAATTACTAATTAATATAATTTGCAGTGTTTTTAAAGAGCAATGCTCTTTTGTGCATGTTACTTTTATAATTTTTCTTTAAATGATATTTTTTCGGTGTGCGGTGAGCTTTCAAGAATTATATATATTAATTGCACGTGTGCAGTTACGAACACGCAATTCTGACAAGACATTTCCCCTGGTACACATCAATTTGGGAGAGAGAGGGAGTAATAATTTTTATAGAATTGTATGCAAAGGTCTAATAAAAATTTTATTAACTTTACAATGAACAAATTTTTTTAAGGGAAAGCAATTTAATATTTGATCTATTTGCTTTTCTTTTTAAGAAATTATTTCTTTAAATTTAATTTTGATATTAGAATAAGTATTGTTTAAAACTCAATTCTCAATTTGTTTGATAAAGGAAATGCTATTTTTATACACATTAAATTTATCTATATAAGACATTCGATACAAGGATTCAATATACCTTTCGAAGTTTATCACTCCGATAATTCAAATAACAACGACAAATGTCTATTTTATGGGGCCCGTGCCGTTGTACAAGTGCATCATGTATTTTTTGAGTGCTAAAAACTAGTCCAATGCAATTGTCATCTTATAGGAACCAAGACCTGCACGCCGGAACAATTCACGTGTCATTCGGGAAATGGCGAGTGCGTGGCATTAACATGGATGTGTGATGACAACCCGGACTGTTCGGACGGTTCGGACGAGGCTGAGTGCAGTAAGCTTCTGCACTTGGGTTATTTTATTCATATGCTTGCATTTTATTTCCTCTTCTTTTGATATATGCAACTCGCACGTCTAAGCTAAGTTACCAGTACTACTAAACAATTATCTCTCTTAATTTTACTGTTAATTTTTGTTTTTTACTAATTCAGTAGATGGGATGCTTGACATACGAACATATAAGGGTATATGTATTATAAGACTGTACGAAATGATACTTTGTTCTGAATCCGGTTTGTGAACTCAGCTCAAGTAATCGTTACATCGGAACAACTTCAAAATCTATGCGTGAATCAGTTCAAATAATTATTTGAGTTGTATGAAATAGTACTTTGTTCACTTATAATTACATTCTGTGTTATATATGTTATATATGATTGTGTTAAACATATATGTCTTAAACATGTTAATATATATCTGTGATAATCTTATAAATGTTAATCATAAACTTATAGAATAGAATATGCACTTTTATGAGACGACTGATCACAAGATTAAAGAACTAAAATATGTTAAATAATATACTTTCTTTGATACACAGCACTCTAGGAGGAGCTAATGTAGGAAGAACAAAAGAGAGGATGAAATATATTAAAAAAAAGGAAGACACATTGATTGCTTATAATTGACGTGTGATTGCTTCTCTTCCTTCATTTTCCCCGTCCAATCAATTAGAACAGAAAAGTATTTTATTCTTTATTACTCTCTTACTAATGCTGATTTCGTCTCTCCTATAGATAGGGTTGCAACAATTTCATAAGATATCAATAACGATAAAAAAAAAATCGATATTTCTATCGAAAATATTTAATGAAACAAAATTTTCTAATTTATATAATTTTTATTGATTTGTTCGTATTGTTTGCATTTTTCGCAATCAATTCCTTCGCTTTTACTTCTTTAGCATTCAAATATGCGTCCGTTTTGTTTTAAGTACGAAAGGTGCGAAGAAAGTAACACGGACAAATTTAGGATTCAAATTGAGTAACTAGGATTTCAACTAATCCATAACATTAGTTACTTCTGCTTACGATCAGAATTACCGTCAGTTCTATCTTATTTTAGAGTATATAAATTTAAAGTACTATTTTAATAGGTTCTTTAATCCAAATTTATGTCTTATGTTACAGTTACTTTAATTTATTTGAAAATCCCTAATGCCCGATTTTACTAGCGCTGATTAAATCTTAAGTTTAACTAGAGTTAAAACTCATTGAACGTTTAATCAACGTTGGTGAAATCGATTATTAGGATTTTTTTAAATGAATTAGCGTAAAATGTCTAAACGTAAATTGTAAATTGAACTGAAGAATCAATTAGGATATTACTTTAAGTTTATGTAGAAGATAGAAGATAGAATTGATGGTAAAGGAAAGTGTAACCTTTATAGGGGGTTCCACGACCGCTCGGAGATCGTTTTATATAAGGTGTAGTAAAAAGAAATCCATTATTTTTCCAATAGATGGCTTTAGTAATGTGTATCTCGCGTTGTATAAGTGCGATCGGTTTACGCTAGATGGCGTTAGAAAGATAAGATTTTGTATTAAAAAAACTTCTCAGACAGTTTTGTGATTGTTTGACTCAGTATTGTTTGAGCGCGCGTCAAAGATGGACACCAGCAAAGAGAAAATACGCCATATTTTACAGTTTTTCTTCGATAAAGGCGAAAACGCAAGCCAGGCGGCTGAAAATGTGAATAGTGTTTATGGTCCTGATACTGTAACAGCCAATCACGCGCAATTTTGGTTTCGTCGATTCCGTTCCGGTAATTTTGATGTCAAAGATGCACCACGCTCTGGAAGGCCAATTGTCGAAAATGTCGATAAAATAATGGAAATCGTCGAGTCCGACCGTCATGTAAGCACTGTTTCGATTGCCCAGGAGCTAAACATTGCACAAAAAACCGTTTGGAACCACTTGAATAAGGCTGGATACAAAAAGAAGCTCGATGTATGGGTGCCACACGAGTTAACGCAAAAAAACCTCATGGACCGAATTTCCATCTGCGAATCGCTGCTGAATCGCAACAAAATCTACCCATTTCTGCAGCGGATGGTGACTGGTGATGAAAAGTGGGTCACTTACGACAACGTCAAGCGAAAACGGTCGTGGTCGAAACGCGGTGAGCCGGCGCAAACGGTGGCCAAGCCAGGATTGACGGTCAGGAAGGCTTTGCTGTGTGTTTGGTGGGATTGGCAGGGAATCATCCACTATGAGCTGCTCCCCTACGACCAAACTCTTAATTCGAGCTGTACTGTCAACAATTGAACCGCCTGAAGGAATCAATCGCCCAGAAGCGGCCAGCTTTGGCCAATAGGAGAAGAATTGTGTTCCATCAGGACAACGCCAGGCCACACACATCGATAGTGA